AAGTCTGTTTGAGCTATTGTCACAAGGAAGGTATGTTGAAATGATACGAAATTTAAAGTCATGTTTAAAGAAAAGGTTAATTGAGATAGCATAGCCTGGAACAGATTTAGTATTATATATATGAGGAGTTAGGGAGTTGCATATTATAATAGAGGTGCCAGCTTTTGAGCTATCTGTACAGGATTGAAAGTAAGTATAGTGTAATGTTTTAAGAGGTTTTAGAGTAAGAATGTTGCTAGCAAGCTTGGTTTCGGTTAAGCAGATAATATCAAGATTATTGGAAAGAAAATAATATTTCCAGACTTGCTGTTTAAGGTTTTTGTTGAACCCTCGAATATTGTGTGTACAAATAAAGAGGTTAAGAGGGAAAAGAGAGTAAGTAGTTTGTGTATCTGATTTGAGAGGAACATATCTAAACCAACTAAGTAAATCTTGAAAGGGAGGGTGAAATGATTTGGAAGTAGATAAGTTTCATTAGGTAGGTATATGTGAGCTTCTTCATAGTTGTTATCTTTGTCTTTTTTGTTAAGGATAGAGATTCTAATATAATAAGGTGAATAGTATGAAGGAAACTCCTGAAAAATATAGTGTAAAAAGGTGTGAATTTTTTGTGGGTGATGAAGTGGAGGGGGTGGTGCTCATTTCACCGACACTCATTTCACCGACACCTCGGTTCACTGACAATCGATTCACCGACAAGCTTATTTTACCGACACTTATTTTACTGACATTTAATTCACTGACATGTTTAATTCACTGACATGTTTAATACACCGACAATTGATTCACCGACAATCATTTCACTGACATGTTTATTTCACCGACAATACGCTTCACTGACAATACGCTTCGCCGACAATAAGTTTCACCAACAATACGTTTCGCCGATAATATGTTTCGCTGACAATACGTTACACTGACAAGTTTAATTGATTTTACAACACTAGCATTTCGTTTCACCAATAATCTTATCATAATAAAGAGTGCAGAATAAGTAAAAAGTATAGAATTATTTATTCAGAAAAAGAGTACGCG